TGACTTAATCAACTTTCTCACTGAGAGTGTTTCTGGTTACGGGGTCATCTGATTGGCTGATATGTCATTCAGGATAAAATAACCAGGTTCAAAATACATACGGCATTCCTTCACAACCTTTTGATCTCAGTGTGACCTTTTGACCATTTGCTTTTTGTCCGTATGCTGCTGAAGTATTTCCTGAGCTTCTCCTAGCTGTGGCGCGATTGGAAAACTGGGAACGCTGCCGGGATCGTTGGCAGACAAATGCAAATACTTTCCACTTGTTTACCTGAGACTTCAAAAGCAAGAGCGATTCTGTAAACCTGCGGGATCGCGAGGTATGCGTCACGGCTTGAAGAGTTTCCAGATAACAAAAAAACTGTTGGACAATCTCACCTGCAACCGCAGACAGACGCCGAGAGGAAAACAACAGCGTAACCTTCTGATAATTAACAAAGTGCTCACAGGTTTGCTTCATTTTCTGATTCCCAGTTGACGAACAAACACTCGCTTACGCTGCCAAACGTTTCCTTCTTTCCACTGATTCTGAACTTTATTTAAAAGATTTCAAACATCTAAAGATCTAAAGAACCAAAGTCGGTGACGTCATCAGTCTGAAAGGTTGCTTTGGGAGTGCAGCGAACCACAGCGAGAGCCGTTATCCACACGTGGAGGAGAACTGGAAGCTTCGCAGGAGCGGCTTCAACATCCAGGAGGTCGCAGAACAACATCGACTCTGCTCAGTTAAGGTCAGAGGTCATGATTCAACAATGAGAAAGAGCTTTCACACTGCGATTTATGCGCTAAAAGTGAAACTCGTGTTGCACACGGTTAAACAAAACCAGATAAATATCCAAACCAGGACACGCAGGACAAATGGAGTCGATAAGAGATGCATGAGGACATTTACTCGAATGTTACAGACTCAGGTGACAGTTTCTGCGTCAACATATTTGAAAGGTTTCACACAATCCACCAACATCGATATCAGGGATCATTTGTCTTAGAGACGTGTAAAGGAAGAGTCAAACTAATGATTAAAAACAGCTTCATGATCAAACAGCTCGTCCTCATGCTCATGGCAGCGTCGGCGTCTCTGCGCAGTGAGCGAGGCACTGAGGAACATGGAGTTGCCAGTGAGCAGACCACAGCTTCTCTTCAAAAGTCCTGAATCTTCCTTCCTGTAGCAGTTCCTGC